TACCTCCTGTTGGCTATGCTAGCATATGTGTGCTTGTTAATTGACTGCTCTTATGAGTGCTTATATGTCAATTGAAGTACTAGAGTGACTGGCAGGCTGCTGTGATGCTGGAAACTATGCCACCAATATTTTCAAGTACAAGCAGGGTCATCCATAGTAGAAAGGTTTCAGTAGAACTTTGAAATGAATACAAACTAGGAAGAAGACTTGACCATCAGCTTCTCAAACAGCAGGCCTTTGAAAACCCTATGAATACTAGAAGAACACTAGTAGATATAGCACAGATGACAGGGGCCTCAGATTGGAAGACACCAAATAATTAGAAGGAACAGCCGAGTCGCTTGTTACTCATAGTGCCCCTATGCACAACAGCCCTAAACTCTGCTCTGTCCTGTGCCAATCACACTGTCTCTGACACTCCCATCCCAATTACCCCTGTCGCTGAATCAATCCACCTCATAAAGGGTCTTCCCCTCCTGCACTGTCCCTCCACCCTACCAAGCATGATGTCCCTCTCCAAGGATCTCTCCTTCCTTACAACATGTCCAAAGTATGTTAGACAAAGCCTCAGAATACTTGCCTCCAAGGAGCCGCCCAGTTTAACCCTTTCTGTTTGTTTTCCTAGCAGTCCATGATACTCTCAATACTCTTCTCCAGCACCACAGCTCAAAGGCATCAATTCTCCTTCTATCCTCCTTGGTTATTGTCCAACTCTCTGATGCCTAACAAGTGATTGCAAAGACCATGGCCTATATCAGATGCACCTTAGTCTCCAGAGAGACACCATTGCTCTATGGTACTTTGGAGAGGTCCCTAGTTGCAAAAATGAAATGGAATACATAAAGATCGAAATTCTAAGTATTAGTACTGAAATGGACTGGTATTGGCCTCTTTTAATCAATCATCTGATCTGCTAGCCCAGAAATGAAAAATCGAGGAAGAATAGAATTTCAGCCATAGTAAAAAAGACCATTTCAAGATCTACCCTAAAGCACAATGCTGTGAGTGATAGGATACTAACCATATGAATACAAGGAAGATCTGTGAATACAACTATTGTTCAAATATGATGGTGTTTGTTGATTGCCATTGAGTTGAGAACGACTCATAGCGACCCTATGGACAAAAGACTGGAAGAGTTTTCAGAAGCATGTTATTTAGGAAGTAGAAATATATGCATAACTAAATAGTAATTGGTGACTGAAATGCAAAAATTGGCAACAAAGAAGAAAGACTAGTAGTTGAAAATGATGGACTTGGTGACAGAAATATGGCTGAATATCAAATGACTGAATTTTGTACAGTCAAGGATTTATTCATTGCAAATATTTTTATTAAAATAATCAAATGATTACGACCCATATAGACCTCCCCTGATGAACTACACAGGAATCAGCCTAATCACATCTGTGTAGAAACTCACTGGAGAAGTTCAGTATGAGCAGGCAAGACCAGACCAGGTGCTGACTGTGGAACAGACCATCAATTACTCATGTGAAGGTTCAAACTAAAGTTTACAAAAATGAAAACAGGGCCACAAGAACCAAAATAGGATCTTGAGTCTATCCCACATGAATTTAAAAATCATCTCAAGAATAGATTTGAGACATTGAACACTAATTATTGAAGAACAGATGAAATGTTGGATGGAATTACATCAAAAACATGAAGAAAGCACAAAGCTCATTAGAAAAACAGGGGAGAAAAATAAAGACCAAATAAGATATCAGAAGAGACTCTGAAAATTACACTAGAATGTAGAACAATCAAAACACAGGCAAGAAATGGCAAAGTAAAAGGAGTTGAACAAAAGATTTTAAATGGCAGCTCGAGAGGACAAAGCAAAGTGTTACAATGAAAGGTCAGAAAAGAAAAAGAGAAGCACTCATTTGGCATTTATTAAGCTGAAACAACTGAAGAACAAATTCAAGTCTCGACTTGCAATACTGAAGAATGCTATGGGCAAAATCTTAAATGATCCAGGAAACATCAAAAGAAAATGGAGGAACTACAGAGTCACTGTACTAAAAATAATTCGCTGACATGGAATCATCTTAGGAAGTAGCACATGACCAAGGACCAATGGTGATAAACAAAAAAGTTCAAGTACACTGAAGATATTTGCAAATAAATAAATAAGGCCCCAGGAATTGATGGAATACCAATTGACATGTTTGTACAAACAGATACAGGTTATGCTTACCAGATTAAGAAAGAAATCTGGAAGAAAACTATCTGGCCAATAGACTAGAAGAGATTCATATTTGTTATTGTCTCCCACTAAAAAATGATAAAAAATAATGTGAAAATTATCAGACAATATAATTACTATTACATGCAAGCAAATCTTACGGAAGATTATTCAAAAACAGCTAGAACAGAACATCAACAGAGAAATTCCAGACTCTCAAGCTGGATTTAGAAGCAGCTCTGGCACCAGGGATATCATTTTTGATATGCAATGGATCTTGTCTGAAACCAGAGAATAATAGAAAGATATTTATCTGTGTTTTATTGACTATGCAAAGACATTTGATTACAATAAACTATGACTAACATTCAGTAGTATGGGAATCCCAGATTTGCTCATGTGAAACCTATACCTAGACCAACATGCTGTTGCCCAGAGTCAGGGAACACTAATCAAGAAGGATGTGTATCTTTTCTCCGTACTTACTCAATCTGTATTATGAACAAGTCATTTGAGAAGCTGGACTTTGAATAAGAATGTGACATCAAGTCAGAGGAACACTCATCAGCAACCTGCATTATACAGTCAACACAAACTTGTTTGTTGAAAAAGACAAAAGACTTGAACCATTTGCTGCAGACTATCAAAGACGCTAGCCTTAAACGATACCAAGTTTCTCCTTGGAGGTGAGTACTGTGAAGCTCTGTCTCGCATACTTTGGTCATGTGGGCATGTGGAGAAACCAGTCCTTAGAGAAGGACATCATGCTTGGAAGGGTGGAGGGACAGCTCAGGAGAGGAAAAGATAGATTGACATAATAACTGAGGCAATAGTATTAGCTGAGACTGAGTCAGGATAGGGCAGGGTTCAGAGCTATTGTACCTAGAGTTGCTATGAGTCCTGAGCGACTCAATGCCACATAACAACAAAACATCCGGATTACATCTCAACATAAAGAAAAAAATCCTCATCACTGGGCCAATAGGTGACATCATGATGGATGAAGAAGAGATAAAAACTGTCAATGATTTCATCTTTTTTGGATTCACAGTGAACACCTTTGGTACCAGCAGTCAGAAGATCAGGAGATGTATTACATTGGGCAAATTTGTCATTAGTGACCTCTCCAAATTACTGAGGATCAGTGAAGTCAGTTTGAAAGCTAAAGTGCATTTGATTCAGGCCATGGTATTTTCATCATTATGCATCAGAGAGCTGGACAATGAGTAAGGGTGAAAGAAGAATTGATGCTTTTGAGTTGTGGTGCTGGAGAAGAGTACTCACTATTTCATGGCCATGAACAAATAAGTATGTCTTAAAGAAAGTGTGACCAGTGTACTCCTTGGAAGCAAGGATGGTAAAATTTCATCTTGCAAACTTTGGAAGTGTTAGGAAGGGTCAGTCCTTAGAAAAGTACATTATGCTTGGAAATGTCATTAAAACAGAGGAAGTACCTCAACAAACAATGGGCTTAAGTCTATTGGAGATGATGGGGATGGTACAAGATATGGTAATGTTCAGAATCCATTGTTCGTGGGATTGCAAAGAGTTGCAGTTGACTCAACAGCATATGGCAACAACCAACATGTATATTGAAAAGTCATCAGCCAAATCTGTATGTGGCACAGGTGTGGGTCTTTTAACCTACCCATATTTGCTTGTCTTGCCTTTATACTGATATATCTGCTGTTGACTGTATTTTTTTGCATACCTTTCTGTGTCTTCTTTTTAGTGTATTGTGCTAATGATCCTCTTATCGTGTGTTGCCTTTATAAGTTGTTGCATAGCTGAGTACATGGTAAGTTTTATTATTTGTAAAAAGGTAAAAGCAAAAACCTTGTCTCACATGTTATCATAAAAGGATAATTGGAAAAGCAGTATAAAGTGCTATACAAAGGCTACCACTTCCTATCCCTAGGGAATCACTTAGTTTGGGTTTTGGTAGTCCTACAGCAAGACCAAAGAAAGTTTAGCTCATTATATAGTGTAAATAAATGGCCTTTCTTACCATTAGAAAACCCCAGAATTTTCAATGTAATTACACACACCTGCTCAAGAAAAGGAGCCATATATTTATATTTGCTAAAAACTGCTTTCTGAGTTTTCAATTTTTAAACAACCAGTCATAGAATGATGATTAACAATTTAAGAATGTTACATTATGGTAGATATATTGCTAGAGAAGTCTTTACAGCTTGATTTTTCTATGTTGAAATACATTAGCCCTAAGTAGTGCACTTCTTAAAGGCTTTCTGTACTTGGACCCAAAAGGAATGTGTTCAATGCACCCTTAAATTTAGCTATAAATATATGAGGGTATCCTTTTCCTGGAGGTAGAAGATCTAAAGACATAATCTTTTTTCACAACTGGCAAATATAAGAGTTCTTTCTAAATAATTTTATATAGAGGGTTTCAGAATTTAAATTCTATCTTACTGAATCTGAAGGAAATTGTGTTAATCTACAATACTACTGAAATTAAAAAAAATAATAGCCTAAACTGGAAGTTAACACACTTTTCCACAATGGTGACAAATCCGTTCAACACTAAAGTCATTATTGTTTGATGTACAAATTAATTCAGCCAGATCTAGCGGTGTGCTTACACTTCCTCCCTCCTAAGCATTTTTGTTCCCTCTCACTGTTTTGGGAAGATAGGAAGATGACTATTTCCTGGAATGCATACTTCAGTTTCACACCAAGATGCTTACAAGCCAATAGGACACTACACACAAATGGAGATCAAAAACAGCTTTTGGGTGATTTTATTTGATCTTTGGAATGCTGTTTTTTACATTTAAAATTCACTTCAAGACTTCCAATTTAGAGTCTTTTCCTTCTCACAAATAACAATATTGGAAGGAGTTTTCTTTCTTTCTGGCAAAATAAAATCAGCATGCCCTGGTGAAACTGAAGGAAATGTATTGTTAATGTATTTTTGAAATGCTGCCCTGGTTTCCTGCAATTCCTCCTCCAGAAAATCTTTCCAATTTGTCATGATTCCCAATTGTTTTGCTATGGAGAGCAGCTCCCCTTGAGTATTAACCAGTTTATCCATCACATTTCCAAGTGTAGCTTGGTGTGTTTTCTCTGCTTCTTGAAGCACTTCCTGGACCTCCTCTTGCTTCCGTCTATGAGCCATGCTGTAGTAGATATTCATTTCATGTTCTTTTTTCTTTATCTTTAGTTCCACACTCTTCCTCTGGTCCTTAGCAGAGGACATGCCAACATTCACAAGTTCCTCCATGGCCATTCTACAAATGATAATATAGGTTCATATGTTAAATGGATTAACCAATGATAACCAAATAATTTATCCTTAACCACAGATGTATAAAAAAATGAACATTCATTTGAGACAGGCTGGCAAAGATAAGGCTTGGATTGTACAAGCTGTTAACAATCAAAGAACAATTTTCAGGGCAGAGGCTGCCCATCTAACAACACTGCCATGGGGAAGAGAGAATTTGAGTATCCAGTGACAATTTTAAGAACCTGAGTTCACCTTGCCTAAGAAAATTACACCCTTGTGCACTTAAAAATTAATAAATGGTCAGAGTTCAAACTCTAGAGAAAACATTTTTACATGAAAATAGTTACATTTAGACAAATGGAGAAAATCTAATCTAAACCTTATTAGATCTGGTTCCAATTTTTCTTCTATCTGAACAATATTATATGACAGAAATCTCATACTTTTTGGTCTCAATTCCCCTTTACACTCTTAAAATGACTGAGAATTTTGAAGATATTTTGTTTATATAAGTAATATGTATCAACAATAACACCATTAGAAATTAAAGTACATTAAAATATATGTTAATGCACATAAAATAGCAGTAAATCTACTAAATATTAACATAAGTACCATTTTTTCCATGGAAAAAAGCTGCATTTTCTAAAATAAGTACCAAGTGTTTGATGAGAATGTTAGCATTGTTCACATTTCTTTTATCAAAATCAAATTCTAGTGGTCTAGTGGGTAAGGAGTTGTGTTGTCAAGTCAAAGGTAAGCAGTTTGAATCCACTAGCTGCTCTGAGGGAGAAATATGGGCCATTTCATTCCCTACAATTGATTTATAGCCTCTGTAAACCTGCTGGAGGGTCAGCTATGAGACAATTCCAATGCTATGTCAATGAGTTTATTAACTGAGGCTCATTACAAGTCTTTTTTTTTTAACTTCCAATCAGTCATTGTTGCACTTTCTCCCCTCCCAACCCTCCCCCCTAGTACACCACTCTCTTGGAAAAGTAAAGAAAAATATCATTGTTTTAAAATCCCTCCCCCCAGATCCACTCCATGATGCAGCCTTCGCTCTGGACTCCTGTCATAACAAAAATACCTAAACACACATCCCTTTTAAACAGTTTTCTCCCTCATCTGTTTCAATGCAGTATACATTATTGAACCCATCGTCCTCAGTCTCCCCCCAATCCCGAGGTCAGTCCTGTTTTACAACAGTGGCACCATGCATTATTTGTCCTCTGTGATTGAGATACTTCACTCAGCATAATGTCCTCCAGGGTCACCCATTTTGAATAATATTGCGTGAGTTCCTTGTTTTTCAATGCAGCATAGTATCCCATTGTGTGAATATACCACAGCTTCTCTATCCATTCGTCTTTTGATGGGCACTTAGGTTGTTTCCAACTCCTTGCTATTGTGAACAAAGCTGCAATAAACATGGATATGCACATATCTGCTTGAGTGGTGTTTATGGTCTCTTTGGGGTAAATTCCCAGTAGTGGAATTGCTGGGTTAAATGGTATTTCCATTTGCAACTTTTTGAGAAAGCGCCATACCAACTTCCACAGTGGTAATTTTTTTAAAGCTGTTGTTTTATGCTGTTTCAGTCTCCTGTGATATCACACATAATTCCTGGAAATATCTACCATAGACCTGTAAGAAAATAAGAGTTAACAATAGTTGTTGTTGTCGTTATGTGCCGTCGAGTCGTTTGCGACTCATAGCGACCCTATGTACAACAGCCCTAAACCGTGCTCTATCCTG